TGGATCATTGGTTTTATAACCTCAATCTTTTTGCTGTTGTATTGGGGTTTTCTGGACAGGGCATCTGCTAAGAAGTTCTTTCTCCCAGGAAAATATTTGAGAGCGAAATTAAAATATTGAGCCCACCTTGCTTGTTTTTCAGAGAATTTCCGTAGATTTCTCAGGGCTTCCAGATTTTTGTGATCAGTTCATACTTCAAAGGGGATTTGGTTTCCTTCCAGGAAATGTTTTCATGTGAGCATTGCCCACTGCACAGCATATGCCTCTTTCTCCCATATGGCCCATCCTTGCTTGGTTTCCGTCAGTTTCTTGGATGTATAAGCGCATGGTTGTAATTGTCCATTTCCATTCTTTTGGAGGAGGACTGCTCCAACTGCAACATCACTAGCATCTACTTGGATGACAAAAGGTTGTTCAGGGTCTGGGTGCTTAAGGACTGGTTTTGCTGAGAATAGACATTTGAGTTTTTCAAATGCCGCTTGGCATTCCATTGTCCATATAAGGGGTTGCCTTGGTTTGGGTTTCTCCCCCCCCCCCTTCATTTTTAGCAAGTTTGTGATAGGGAGGGCAATGTTTGCAAAAGCTGGAATAAACTGGCGATAAAAGTTCTCAAACCCCAGGAAGCTTTGCAGTTGTTTGCGGGTGTGCAGTGGGTCCCAGTCCATGACCGCTTTTACTTTCTGTGGGTCCATCTCTATTCCCTCATGGGATATTCTATACCCCAAGTAGTCAATTTTTTTCTTGGAGGAATTTGCATTTAGAGAGTTTTGCATATAGTTTAGCGTCTAAGAGTTTTGTGAGGATTACACGGAGTAGCTTGATGTGTTCTTCCATCGTTTCGGTGTAGATTAAAATATCATCAAGATAAACTAGAACCCCTTTATATAAAAATTCATGAAGGGTTTCATTGATCAATTGCATAAATACAGCAGGCACTCCTTTCAGTCCAAAAAGGACCACTAAATTGGTAGCATCCTAATGGGGTGTTAAAAGCTGTCTTCCACTCATCCCCTTCCTTTAATCTTATGCAGTAATATGCCTCTCGTAGGTCTAACTTTGAAAAAAAAATTCCTTTCAAGAGGTGGGCCAGCATTTCCTTCATGAGGGGGAGTGGATATATATTTTCTATGCAAATCATGTTTATTTTTTTGTAATTAACACAACCGTACGGAGCCATCTTTCTTTTTGAGGAATAACACTGGGGCAGCTATTTTTGGTCAGGGGGGTTCGATGAAGCCCTTTTTTAGATTTTTATTGATAAATGCTCCGAGTTCTTTTAGTTCTCTGGGAGACATGCAGTACATTTGTGGTTTTGGCAGTTTAGCCCTGGTGGGATTTCAATAGTGCAGTCTGTGGCGAGATGGGGTGGGAGTTTACCACAAGTTTCCTCGCTAAATGCTTGGGCCAGATTCTGGTACTCATTGGGGATGTAAATGGATTCAGCCGACTGTCCGGTCATGGCTGCCTATCTGTTCTCTGTTCCTTTCTCTATCCTTTCCTCTGAGCTATTTGCTGATACTACATCTCTCTGGAATTGTACGGTTCCTCTCCTCCAATTTATTTTTGGATTCCATTTCCGCAGCCATGAGACCTAGGACTAGTGGCCCTTCCATCCCTGGGGCTACAATGAATGAGAGCATCTCACTATGGTTTCCTAGTCTTATTTTCAATGGTTCTGTGACAAACCTAGCTGGCTCCCCCCGCGCTATTGTTCCATCTAATTGGCAGAAAGTAATGGGTTCATCAATCTTTTTAGTTGGATTCCCAATCTCTTTGTTAGGGAGGGGTTGATCAGTCAATGAGTGCACCCCAAATCCAGTAGTACTGCAACTTCCCTCCCCTTTCCTCGGCTAGGGATGAACAGTCTTAGAGGTAGAGTGATTGGTTCAATTGGGTCACTTACCAGTGGGTCGTCTTCTGGATTGCTTTTGGACTGGCTCAGGTCTCCACGGAACATTTGGGTTTCATCCTCTGGGTTGGGGGGCAATCGGAATCCCACAGCTTCTTCGCTTCTCAGGCCAGTCTCCTTTCTTTGAGAGCTGGGTGTTCCAGGTTTCCCCCCAGATTGGTGGTCTGGCTTTCTGGCAAGGATTTTCAAACGGCATTCTGCTGCATGGTGTCCCCCTTTTCCACATTTAAAACAGCCAGATGTCCTTGGAGTCATGGTGGTTTGGGGTTTTTCCTTTTATGCAAGGTCCCCTCAGTAGAGTGAAGGTGTTTTTTTAAAAAAAAAAATTCCTCTCTGGGGTGACTTCTATTGCAGATGCTGCTTTATGTCAGGCTACAGAACTTTTCCCATTCAATCAACTAGAATGAACTTCTGAAAACATATCAAAACGTATCAAAAAGGAACCCTTTATTGAGATGAGACAATTCATGTTGGGTTAAAAGCAGTGTCTAAGGTCTCTCAGGCATGCAGAGATAGATAAGGGAGTTTAAAACCTGTCCCCTTATCTTGATGTGTATTTAGTGAAACGAAGAGCCAACATGTTAATTCCCCCACCCCCTTTTTAGAATGATCTTTTTTAGAGTTTCCCAGGGCATACCTAATTCCCCCACCCCCTTTCAAAAACAATCTTTTTCAGGGTTTCCCAGGACACATCTCATTGTGGAATTTTTATGGTCTCTTCATCCCCTGGCTGTCTCTCCCAGAGATGATAGGTTCCGGCCATCTGGTTTTTGTCCCTCCATTGTATCAAGTGTAGATTATACAAATTCGATATAAGATTAAATATATTCAGGTTACATCAAAAAGGATTTCTTTATCAGTCCCCCCATTTTCTTCTTCCATTACAGAAATGACAGATACACAGATCTGACACTTGTAAGGTTAATGTCTACACATTCTTCTCCTGAAGACTTAGCTGTGAATAGGATTGGGTGAATAGCTTAGCTGTGAATAGGATTACAACTTTAACCCCTTTCTGTGAAATCCCACTGCTTGGTTTATCATATTCTGGTGCTGTCTGTCTAGTCTAATATGTCAGGTCTAGGCAGACGGTTTTTCTGCAGTTTTCATCACTGATTAAATCTATGTATGTCACTGATGTTGGTTCAATCCACAAATAAGGCTGGTATGTAATTCATATACAACATTACAAGGCAAGTAACTTCCATACTATATTGAATGTTTGGTTATAAGAAATGGAATTACAATAAATAGAATTACATCTTTATGGAAGGAAGCATGCAGTGGGATACCTCAAGGTTCTGTCCTGGATCAGAAATCTTCAACATCTTGATAAATGATCTGGATAAGGGATAAAAGGAGAGCTCATCACATTTGCACACCAAGATGACACCAAGCTGGGGATAATTGCGAACACTTTGGAAGATAGACTCAAGATTCATCTTTTTTCTTGACAATCCTTGGTCTGAAGATGCCAAATGCCAGGAAGTGATTACAATTCATTCTAACCTACTTTTCCATACCAGGTTTTTATATGAGATCAGAACCATCAGGAAGGAGAGTTGTTAGGATTAGTGGTTGACTGCATTAGTCAGATTGTAGAAACAGAGCCATTATATTATCTTTATCTTATCATAAATGCTTTTCATGTATGATTTGACATGCAGCAATTGAATAAAGACATTCATCAATTCAGCCAATGAATTCATTGATTTCACAAACAAGGCATTAATATATGTGTCATAATTTCTTCGGTATTCACCCTTAAAATTACTTTAATTACATATTACAAATTACATATTAATTAGACTCATAAAATCCATACAACAGAATAATACACCTTTACACAAATCAGTGATTAAAGTGGCTCATATTATAAAATAACAATTAGTTAAACTAGAGAGATTCATACTGCACTATCTATAAATTTTAAGCAAAAGTACTGCAAAAATACAGCAGCAAGTGCCTGACAATATGCTTTCCTTCATGGTAAAAAAGCAGATAGCAAACTGAAAATATTTTACATTATTGATCTCTTATTCAATTCAAATAAACATTGAAACAGCCAAATCTCTTTCAATGCTTCATTACTACACATGGATATACTTCGATACGAGAATTTTATTAAATCTGCATTTTATTTCATACAAATTATTTATAAATGTTGAAAAGAGGATTGTTGGAACATAAAGGAAATAATGCATTGCATTTTGGAAAGACATTTGGTTGTTTCAATGCTTATTTGAATTGAATAGGGTCAATCATTCTTCATTAAAATGTATTTTTTTCACCCATTTATAAGGAGCTGGAATATATCTTCTCTTACAGAATTGCTCAGCATTTTTTTTAACTGCAGGAAGGAAGATATGTTTGTTCCAGATCAATCATCACAGCTACATATTTTCTAAAGACAGAACAAAATTTTGCTCTGAAATAAGGTAATCAGCAATCAACAGACTACCTGCATTAAGGGAAATAACAGCAAAACAAAAAAGTTTATTTTTATTTACAGAAAACATAAAGAAAGCTTGTATATTTAAACAAAGGAGCAGGAAGATTCTGGATAACCTTCTGGTTTTTAATTTTGTGACAGCAGACAATTTTAAGAAACAGATTCAACAATGCCTTATTCATTAAGGCAGATAATTTTGAGAGTATTAATGTTTATATCAAACATAGAAACTACATCAGGAATTTTGGGTTTTCACAAAGATTGCTTTCAGGAGATGTGTAGCAATGTTATATTTCCAGAGATCTCTTTTGATACTCACAAAATCTACAGGCCATCTTAGTTTCTTTAATGATTGTTTACATTTTTAAAAAAAAAGTAGCTACAGCAAAATACAAGCCTCTAACATATTTATGTTTAGGAATGTTTGTGCATCTCTGAAAAGTCCTTTGGCCGGGAAACAAGACCTAGGATGAGAAGAAGTTTTCTATGGATGCCATTCTGTACTTACAACATTCTCTCAAAATTCCAAGTGTACCCAGATTCTCTCACCAAAAACCTTGCTTATCTCTTTCTTTCTGCCCTAGGTTGATTTAGGGGTGATTCTGAAAAATAGTAGCATTTCCACCAAATTATTAGAACACTCTCATGCCAAATTACAAATTTGAAAAATCTATTATGTTCCCAATAATGGTGTCAGAAGGATAATGGTATTTTTCATTTTTTTAAAAAAGGACAACCAGCACGTTTCATCCCTATACTTACCTAGCTTGACATTATTTGCAAAAGAAATGATGTGTCAGTTTATACCGCACCCATTAGTTTTTTTAAACAAAGGCTAATTTTTATAATATTGAATGCATTATTTATAGCATTTTAAAGCTTTACTACATTGCAAAATTAGAAAAATTGTACAGTATGATTGAAAACTGCTGAAACTTTTTATTATTCCATGTTGAAAGTAAGGTGGCAGACAAGTTGTTGTTATCATTATTATTACTATTATTATTATTTACTTTCTTCATTAAACATGAAACTCAGTCAACTGAACATTCAAAAATGCATCACAAATATCATTGACTGGTGCTAATGGTTGGTATGCGTTGCTGCCAGTGTTCTAGGTATCAACCAAGTACCTTCTTAAAATATACAATGTTCCGAGTAGCATAGTTTTTTGCAGTTCCACTTGTGTTATTGCAGGAAGCTGCAATTTCTTGATGTGTTTTGTAAAATTCTTGGACAATGGGTAAAATTCTTGGACAAATTCTTGGACAATGGGTATCACTGTTATATGTTTCATCCATAATCGTGTAGCTTTAATGGCCAGGTCGTGATATTTGGGGGGGGGTGTCAGTTCTTTTTCTCTGACTCTGGCGTCTTGTGGAACAGTGATATCAATCAATTGTATGTTTCGGTTTTCAACAACTATGATATTTGGTGTGCTGTGTTCCAAATGATGATCTGTCTGTATTCAAAAGTCCCACAAGATCTTCACCTTCTCATTTTCAATAACTTTTTCCACTTTATGTTCCCACTTTATTTTGTTAAAAGTCAAGTTTTTCTGCTATAGTCCTTGTCAAAAGTCTCCTTTTATCTCACTTTCTATTTCTTCTGTTTTCTTGTCACAATCAACCTCTAACAGTCCCAAAGTATTGCATTCTTTTATGTTTAACTGTAATCCCCCCTTCTTTTTTTATAAAGCTTCCAGGAATCTTGTTATATTAATAATCTTTTATTCCATTTCTTCTCTATACAACCAGTAATTTTCCAAAGAAACATAAAAGAAGGAAGTCTTTAACCCCTAGGTGGTGCTCTGTATCACTTTCTTCTGAAAATTCTTTAGTTTTAATTCACTTTTCTGTAGTATTAATATTAAATTTTATCAGTACCAAATAAGTCCACCATTTTATCCAATGCCTGATTAATGTCCAGTTCTATATGTTATTTTAAATTTAGTCTCTAATCACATATAATTCTTTTATTTCTGGTTTTTTCTTTACCTTATATTTGCCTCTTATTTCTCATTCGCTGCTACCACTCTTCCAAATGAGGGCTCTTTCTTTCTGCTTTTTGGGGTTATAAAAAATGTTCAAAGTCTTTTATCTGGTTACACGCCGCTCACAACTTTCACTCTCCAGCACAGACTTATGTCCTGACAGCTTCCCATCTTCAGGGCAGCCATTAAAGACTGCCGCTTCTCCCTGTCTTCTAGGGGAATTTGCCAAATCAGGGAGGGGAGATGTGGCTCCCCTCGACCCAGCTGGTGGTCTCCCCCTCTTTCCCCCACCCCTACGAGGTGGGTCAGATGGATCCGGTCCTTTAAGGATCCTCCAACAGGGTAAGCACAGATCAAAGCCGCACACAATCGCAGTTTCCGATCCATCGTCGACAAGAATGCCACCGGAAGTTCCTGGAAAAAGTCTTCATATGTTCAATAATAAATAAATGTGGAAAACTTCCACAGCATTATCTTATAATCATATACAGTTGCTCCATTTTGAAAACCAATATAGTGCTTTCTATAGCCAGAGTCACTTCCTTCTATTTGTACACCAACTCAGGTAATTATTAACTTAACTTATCACAACTGAGCCCAGGTAATTATTGACTTATGATCATAACTGGGCTCTAAGCAAGATAGTTGTTATGTGAATTTTCCCCATTTTATGACCTTTCTTGCCACAGTTGTTAAATGAATCACTGCAGTTGTTAAGTTAGTAACACAGTTGTCAAGTGAACTTGGCTTCCCTATTATCTTTGCTTGTCAGAAGGTCAGAAAATATGATCACATGATCCAGGTTCACACTATAACCATCATAAATAAATGCCATTTGCTAAGTGTCCAAATTTTGATTATGTAACCATGGGGATTCTGCCACAGTTATGTGAAAATAGTCGTAAATCACTTTTTCCAGTGTCATTGTAAATTTGAATGGTCACTAAATGAATTGTTGTAAGTTAAGAACTACCTGTAGTATAATTTTCCACTATAATTTTATTTCTTTGCAACTGTTTATCCATTTCATCCTAATCCCATATTTGAATTATCAATATTAATTTGGGATTCTTATTAAAGATCTGTGGAGTCTATGGACTTATACTATAGTATATGGACTGGCTCAGGACTATCTTTCACCTTTCAATGATATGTTGAAATATGCAAAGACTCAATCCAAAATAAAAAAGTGATTGCTGGCACAACAAAAATATAATCTAATGTAAGTAAAATGTAATTGTTTTATTTAAATATAATTAATGTGACAAATTTCCATGTATGCAATTTCTGTCACATCAAAAATTACATTGGGGAGGTTTTAAGGAGCTTCATACTCCTGAAAGTTGCTTGTGATATTTTTTTTATATAATGTGAATAGTGGGTCCTCCAAAACAATCTGGCATTTAGCTTCCAGGCAAGGAGCATCCAAAAACATTCTGAAGCTTCTTTTCAAAATAGGCTAAGCTGTTTTCCAGTGAGTACTTTGGACAGGTAGAAAAGAGTATCAGCAAAAGTTGATCATATATCATTCCAGGCATTTAACCTGCCTGGAAAACTCCCAAGAAACATATTGCTATTTCAGTGTTTCATTTTAATTACGGTTTATGTTTATACTGCTTTTTTACATAAACTATACAATCTTTTTTTAAAAAAAGGATTAGTTTAGCTAGGTTTTAGAATTAATACTATGTGCTGTAAGGTACAGTTTACAATTTTACTTAAACCCAAATATCTGCATAGTATAAAACAACAGTTTAAAGCAACTGGGTGTATATTTAAACAAATTAAATGAAATTAATATTATACAAAATATTACTGGAATTACAAATTAATAAGGGAGAATAACTGATAATTACAGAATAACAGGGTTGAAAGGTACCTTGGAAGTGTTCTGTCCAACCCCCTGCTCAAGCAGACCTTATAACTTTCCTGACAAGTGGCTCCACAGTCTCTTCTTAAAAGCCTCCAGTGATGGAGCACCTACAATTTATGAAGGCAAACTGTTCTACTTGTTAATGGTTCTTAAAACAGAAAAAGCCAGATTGTTAATACTTACTAGTTTCACCATTCTTGCTGAAGGCCAGGAGCACAAAATCACAAAAGTTAATCTGTGGTTTAAGCCTTGATATGAATTTGAGTACTTTTTAAAACTGTTCCCAAATTGTAAAAGGATGTAAAAGTTAAAGCCGGTTTCCTGAATTGAATCAGCAAATAAATGCAGTATAATATAGTCAAAATAACTATTTCTAAGAAGTACAGCATATGCTTACAGATAAGCTGAGAATTTTAGGTTTCAAATACACTCCCAAAATTTGGACTGCCTTACTTGTGGATTAGATTTAATATTTCTTTTAAAAATCAATATTTCTTTTAAAAAACTCATCAGCAACAAAGTTTCCAGTTTCCTGCCTGTTGCTGTTTAAAAATTCAAAGCTGGCTTATCAGATGATACATTATTTTGTGTAATTTGAATTGAATTTGTGAAGGGTCAATCTATTATAGATGGGCTTATTCCTAGTTATATATAGTATTTCACACCTATATTCTTTTTAAAAACTTGCCTTTTGGTTTTACCTATCAAGATGGATTAGAAGAGTGAGACATTTCTATGCAAAACTTTTTTATATAACTGAATATACCATTGGCCAGAAAGAAGAAAAATGGCATGAGACTACCATATGGCTTAGTCCTTCTGCTTCTTTCTTACTTAAGGAAACCAAATGAGATTTGGTTGATGGTAAAAGTTTGGCTGGAGCCTGTAGCAGCACCATTTGACTTTAAAGTATATAATGTTAAGCCTTTAGTAAAAAAAAAAAAGTAAATTTACAATATTTTAAACCACTTTCAAATTCTCAGACAAGATTCTTGGGTGTTTCAAGCATGTTTGTATGAAATTTATCACTCTAATGCATTCCAGTTTGGCTCAAGCTCAGATTTTTGCTCTAGGACACCTTAGTTATGTACAGGTACTCATCAAGAAACAAGAGATCATTTAACAACCATTCAAAATAATGACCCAAAACCCGAAACTACATATAAACCTGTTTCAAAATTATGACAGATGCAACGTCCCACATTCATACACAGTTATCACAGTCAATAGAAAGGCTGCAGTCCTTGACTGTTTTCTCCCATCCCCTGCTTCAGTAAGGCCTGATCCCCATGCCTCCTGGAAACAGCTCCCATTTTCAGCACCTCGACAATTCCTTATTAAAATGGCACTTCTTGCAAAGCTTTCTCCACAGCTGTCAGCTAAGCTTTAAGAAGGGGGTCCTTGTACAAAAGGCGGCTTCAGGACAAACTACTTAGAGAGGTAGTCCACAGTTTAGTATTTAAGTCCTAACTAGACTCTATAGGCAATCTGACAGACAGTTTAAGCTTTAAAGGACCCAGTGTCCTCTATTTTTCCAGACCAATTTTTAGAGATAACTTTTTTTTTACTTCAGGGGGGAAAAGCTGCAGAAAGATTTGTTTCCTTGTTAGTTTTGTTCCACTCTTCAGCCTGGATTCAAGGTAAGGTTTTTAAAAGGATGTTGGTTGGAAGGCAGATTTTACTTTTAGCAGCTAATTGGGATGTGGTGGACGGAAGATCAACAAGTCCATCCCTCTCAGGGGTTTTTGGGTCTGTTTTTATTGAATACATATGGCTTTCTGAGGGAAGGATGAGTGTGTTAAGGAATATAAATGTTACATATGATCAAATATGGCCAAAGAGTGGAGTCGGCTAACAGACTCCTCTCATTGGCCCAGCTACCGGCAGGAAAATAAAGGCCCGTCAATGGCTGAAACTTTGGACAGTGCTGGCTACAAAAGCCGGCGCCTGCTATGATTGAGTGGCTTTTTTGGATTTAACTACGATAAAGACATCTTACCAGTTCCTGCCATGTCCTGCCTCTCATTCACACGTGGACCCATCTAACACTGGTGACGAGGATGGGATCTACAGAGAGAACTACAGAGAGAACAAAGGACAACAAAGGACACTTTGTGGATTTGGAAGCCATTTACCAGACAGTGCAATGATCATGACTCGTCAACCGACATGGCACAACGCGCAACCAGCCTGGCACACTGTCCGATGGCAATCCCCTACGATCCAGCAAAGGAAAAATGGTCCTCCTACATGGGTATTT